AGACTTACAGAGCAAACACAAAACGGCGAAGCCTCTGAAGTTCTAGACCAAAATTTTTTTCACTTAGTATTAGCAGGGAAAGTTTGTGCACTATCAAGAGCTGACATCCCAGAAAAACTTTGTAAGACTGAGTGAATGCCTTTTACTCTCCTTTCCAGTTCCAGTAAATATTGCATTAACAATTGCAAGGAAAGCATGACTGTTTCTCATTTACTTAGATTTGTTTAGCATCTTAGAGCTGAGCTTATGTGCAGATAATATGTATGCAAGAGGGATAGTTTTGTGAACTGCAAAATTCTGCAGATGTTTTATTTTTTGAAAGTAGCTTTAGTGGAGTTTCTGATGATTTAGTGGCCTGTGGGAGCAGGTTGTTAAATTGGGGCTCTGCACATATTTTTTATGCTTTTATTTAACAGCCATGTCTTTGATTTATTTATGTAGCCATTTTCAGTATACCCCATTTTGGTGTGTTTACTAGTTTAAGTTGTTAGAAAGGATGACAAAGTACAGTTACTTTAAAGGTAGCATTATTTTCTTTTTATTTGATTTCATATTAAACAAACATCTTAAGCAATTCTCCTTCCTAATTATCCTCTATTATAATATTTTTCTTCCATACCTATAAACAGTATTTTTGTTCGATATAATTAATTTTAGTAATCGTATAGCTGCAACAATTTTTAGCAATTACATTGTTACTAAAAATGCTCCCTCAAGGGCAGGGCCAGAACCAAAGGTCAGTGCACTCCTGGCTTTGGCACATGCGAACAGCATATCGGCCCCCGCCTCTTCCTCCCTCCCACAGTGCTGCCTCTGATACAGCTCCCATCTGCCCCCTTCGTCCTCCGCAGGATCTGGTGCTCAGGGGAACTGAGTACAGGCTCCTTGCCTGCTCCCAGCGCTGCTGCCTCTGTAGGAGGCAGCAGAGGCGGGGGTGTGGAGGGAGCAGCTCTGCTGTAACCAGCACACGCAAGGAGCCGGTTTAAAAGCCAGCTACCCATGAGCACCAGCTCCTACCTTCCCCTTGATGCCTCTGTTCATTTAAATGACTATAAACATCCCTAACTAGCCAATTAGCCCGTCATAAAATGGGATTTTCAGGTCTCTCCTCCACATCCTATTCCCTTTCTATCTCAGTCTTCTCTCCTGAGCCTCCGGTCTCTCGCTTCGTCTTTCTCTCTCCCCCCTCCTCCTCCTGCCTCCCCCTCTCTCAGCTCTCCTCCATCTCCTGCCTCTCGCTCTCTTTCTCTTCTCCTCCCGCTCCTGCATGGGAAGTGCGGAGCCCAAACGGCTGTTTGCACCACTTACTCCCGCACAGCAGCCTGGCTGAGCAGCTGCCTATGGGCTCCAGCTGCCCCCCTGCACCATTTCCCTTCACCCCAGCATTGATCCTGCAGCATCCCAGTTGTCCTCCGCCTCCCCCTCATTCCCCTGCCCTCCCCCCAGCCAGGGTCTGTTCACGGCCTGGGGGGAGGAGGGGACGAAGGGGCTG